ACATTACAGGACACACTGATGATTATCATATGATGCTACAGAGTTTAATAGAAAAGCATTCAAATACAAGAATAATTTGCATTGGCTTTAGCTTGGGTGGTAATCTTGTAACTAAATACTTAGGGGAACGAGGATCAAATAAATTATCCAATATAATTGGCGGCATATCTATTTGTCAAGGATATAATGCTATTGAGTAAGCATATTTTTATATATAATATGAATATTGTATTACGTATAATAAATATAAATTTTTTACAAATAATAATTATTATAAAATGTTTTTTCTATGTAATATGTAGAGGTACAAAGTTCCTACTTAACTGGCAAAACTTTCGACGTTTCTATCTGTATATAATGACTGAATCGGTAAAGAATATTATACTTAAACATAAAAATATATTATTATCTGAAGAAATTAAACAAAGATGTAATTTAAACGAATGGGATATTATTTCTGCTGCAACTTTACCAGAACTTGATGAAGCTTACACTAGAAAGGTAAAATATTTTTTAATATAATTAATATATAATTAAAATCAAATTTTATAATATATTATAAATTATATATAATAATAATATTGTTTCTGAATATTTATTACTGAACAGGTCCATAACTTTAGATCAGTGAAGGAAATGTATAAATGGAGTAGTTCTTTGTTCTATTTGGATAACATTGCGACACCTATGGTATTTATTAACGCGTTAGATGATCCTATTGTACCTGATAAATTATTGGAACCTATTAAAGAATATGCTAGTAAGTAATTATTAAGTAATCATTATGTATATACTTGTAATATATTAGAATTTAATATATATAATTTTTTATAATTTTTTAGAAAATCATTCAAATACATTATATGTAGAACTTGCTCATGGCGGACATTTGGGATTTTATGAAGGTGGTCTTTTATATCCAAACCCCATAACATGGCTGGACCGTACATTAGTATCTCTCATAGGATCTCTCACATTAGCACACGCAGATAAATCACTGAAAACTTCTTAACGTAATTTAATAATAATCACTATCATCATTATCTTGTGAATAATGCATTTTTAGCCGTCAATTGGCATCATTTACAATCTTGTTTAAAGATTTTATATTCGAACTTGATTCGAGCCTTAAGGAATTATAATAACTAAATATTAAACATAAAAAATCTGATGTATTTCAAGATTTTTGAAATCGCTATAATTGCAAATTTAAACAAGCGATTGAGTTTAAATGGTATATTATATTTCTTAAGACTATTTTAAAAATACTTTTTGATTGGAAGGAATTATTAACAAAATTTTTAAAACGATAGCACAACATTTTGATGACGATTTATATTTTTTCGATGTCCTGATCATTGACGCTTCATACTCAGGGATCTTTGATAAGGTGATTTGATGAAAAGATATTATCAAAAAATCATATGCTAATGATAGTTGACTATAGAATCACGTTAGAAAGATGAAAGTTCAATTAATGCAAAAAATAGAAATCCTTCTTTATACTTCAAGTTAAATTCTTAAAAGTTGTAAAAACTAACGAATTTTTTCTTTTCCTTTTTTTTATTTTCTTATAGAGCTTAAAATTAAAAATTTTATCAAAGATACTGAGCGCGATATTTATAAAATATGCATAATAAAGATAACTCTGACCTCTTAATAATAGAACTTTCAATTACTAAAATGTAGAATGTTTCATATAATTTACACATCTGAAGTATTTTCATTAGTATTAACGATAGAAAGAAATGCTTTACTTTTAAGAATTAAAACATGTTTGAAATATTTTTTTATATCGTTAATAGCAACATAAATATGGAAGATAAATAATTTAAGTGAAATGTTCTATATATTACGATTAAAAATATTATAAGTGCGTGGGACAGAGTGAATATAATAATTAAATAATGAATTGATATACGAAGAATTTAATGTAAGAATATAAAACTGCAAGAGATATCCGATTGGTCAAGAAAACTTATGTTTACATATCCGCTTTCAATGATGTGGGACAAATATTAATTTATTACTTATATACTTATTATTAATAAACTTCATTAATAAGAATATTTACGTCAAAAAATATCTTTTCTATAATAATATTGTTTAGAAAATAGTTATTTACTTATAAAATAAAACGTTCGTGACTTTTTCTTCAGAATTTATGCAATATATATTTTCATGTTAATGAAGTTTATACAACTTTTATATTATATATTGCATT